GCCGGGCCGCCCCCCGGAGGCCACCGCCTGCGCGGTCCCCGCGGCTCGCAGGCCTGGCGCCCTCCCCCTGTGCCCCGCTGTGCGTGTCTTTTCCTGTTCCCGGTGGTCCCTTCCTGCCTCTTGCCCTCCCCGCTCTGCCTTCCCGCCCACTCCGCGCTGCGCCCCGCAGCCCAGCTCCCTTCACCCCACTCCTGCCCTCTCTCCTCCTCCGCTCCTCGCTCCTCTGGGTTCGGCCAAGTCCAGAGCTCTCCGAAGCTTCAGGCTGCCCCGGGACCAGCCCTGCTTTCCCCTCCTGCCTCCCCGCTGGCCCGTGAGTTGGGTTTGCGCCGGTGTGCGCAGGCTGTCCTGGGGCCAAAGCCCAGTTTTGTCTCTTGACCCCTGGTAGATAACTCGGGGACAAGTATCTCGAATCATCCTTCGGGTCTCGGGGGAAGGTTCTAGGAGTGAAAGCAGACAAGAACAGTTCTGGGGAGACCCTTTTATGCAAAATACTTTCTCCCACTCCTCAGGAAGGGAGCCGAGGTCCCTTCCTCCCCCCCTCCCCCCCCCCCCACCGAATCTCTCAAGACACAGGACAGTTTGTGGCAGGACAGATGCCTCGCAGCACGAGTGCTTCACCAGGCATCAGGCGTTGCCATGCTTTGGTTTCTTTGGTCTAAATATACCGGAGTTCAAACGTTCACTTCAGGATACTTAAGGCCAGTGGGAAATTCACACTCCAGAGGTACAAAGTGAGTGGTACTTACCCGTTTACCCCTAACAACACCATGCAGGTATTTTGCATTTAAACACTGTTACAGGCGTCACCAAATGTAACTCACACGTGTGAGGGAGGTACCGTCACCCACATTTTAAGGGGTGGGGAGATTCAGGTTTTGTGTGACCTTATCAGGATGGTGCAGCTAATAAAGACTTCAGTTGACTGGGGATCGGAAACCAGGTTTCAGGCTCAACATTGGTTGTCCCTTCTTCTCAAGGCCTCTTACCCTGTGTACTGCACTCACTCATCCAGATGCCTGTCAAGGGGACTCTTCCTCTGCTGAGAAAGATCTTCTCACTATTCAAGTGTCACCTTCATCACCAAAGGGAACCTAACCCATGGAATCGAACTTGGTAGATCTCTCCTGTCACATTCTCTGTCTCAGCACTCTATTTATTTAATTTATTATTACTCTTTATTTTATTTTTTTAAGATTTTATTTATGTATTGTAAGTTTATTTACTTTGAAAGAGAGAGAGCTGGGGAGGGGAAGAAAGAAAGGGGGGAGAGAGAGAGAGAGAGAGAGAGAGAATCCCAAGTAGGCTCTGCACTGCCAACACAGAGTCTGATGCAGGGCTTGAACTCATGAACTGTGAGAGTTCTGAACTCTGAACTCTGAGCTGAAATCTAGAGTCAGACACTTAACCAACTGAGCCACCCAGGTACCCCTTATTATTATTATTTTTTGAGAGAGCGAGAGGGCACAAGTGAGTGAGGGGCAGAGAGAGAGAGAGAGAGAGAGACTCTGCGATCACCCAAAGTGGGGCTTGTTTTCACTGAAAGCAGGGCTTTGCTCACTTGAAGTGAGGCTCCTGCTCACCCTAAACATGACTTGAGCTCACCCAATGCAGGGCTCGAACTCACAAACCACTCATGACCTGAGCTGAAATCAGATGCTTAACCGACTGAGCCACCCAG